CCCTGAGCAGGGTATACTGTCTATATCTCAAAACAACACACACACACACACACACACACACACACACACACACACACACACACACAATCACAGACTTATCTTATGTCTTTTATACATTTTTTACTCTTTTATATTAAATGTAAGGTGGCTGTGAAAATTTTTGACTTCAGATAAAGAGTGGACAACCTAAAAAGTTTGAGAAACACTGGGCTAGCTCAAACCTGATCCTTGCTCAGATATATACGAAAGGGGAAGTGGTGTGGTGACGATGGAACACAAGGCTCTGGAATCAAGGAGCCTTTCCCTCACCTGTGTGTCCCAGACAAGGGCCATGTACAATTGCAGTTCTTCTGTTTAGGGAACACAAGGACTGTTCCCTCAGTGCAGCTCAAGGAGCACAAGTCATCCCAAAAGGGTCATGGAGTCAGTGCCATGGCTTAATGTTCCCCTCCCCTACAGACATGGCTGGCCACAGAAAGGAGAGAATACTGCCATTATACAAACATGTGTGTAGTGCATGTGATCCCCTGTCCCTGTGCTCTTCATGGGATGATGTGGCTCTGCACCACCCTGAATACAGCCAATGGTTAAATCCCATTCTCATCATATTATCATGTAGTTAATTTGTTTCCTTTGTATTTTATCAAAATAAGACACTGGGATGGGGTAGTCTATTTTTTGTCAAGGTCCAAATTTCTTGGTCAAGGTATAGTCAAGGTCCATTCAAAAGCATCTGGCAGTCCAGATTTGGCCCGCAGTCCATCTATGGACTACCCCTGCACTAGAAATTGTCACTGAAGTCTAAATGTTGAAGATACTAGAAACAAAATACTTCTGTATATCTTGAAATAGGACAGATAAACATGCATCTCAAAAGGCCAAAGCAGACTCAAGGTTGTTTACTGTATCTTGATTCTGAGTTTTCAAATTTGTTGGTCACACTGTACATAAAATGCTTTTCAACTTTTTTTTTTTAAAACTTCAAATTAACAGTAGCATCACTTACTCGATATCTAGTACCATGGATGGATTGGACAGGTCCTTGTCCTTTTCATCATTATAGAACAAAATCTTTTTACTGCTTACCACAACATACTGAAAGAAAAGGAATGGGAAAAAGGTTACACACACTCTCTCTCTCACCCACACACAGTTATGTATCAATAACTGGAGTTTTTCCAAGATGAACCTCTACGCTACCTCACTACTGGGAGACGTGCTAGTAGTTCAACTGGGCTGGCTGAAACCTCTAGAAGCAGTGACCATTGGAAGCTCCAAGGCACTCCCCTCCTTGCAAACATTTTGAAGGTGAGGCAATAGAAAGGAGTAAGATGCTTTCAACTACTTCTGTTACTTCCACATTTAATTCTACAGCCTAGTAGTAACAGGGCTCTGAGGAAGTGGGGAAGGTAGGAAGTAGCATGAATGTGCAAAGACTCATCTTTAAGAACTCCAGTTACTGGTAAGTATTTTCATGTCTTCTTGGAGTGGGAATCTGCATATTCCCACTACTGGGAGCCTAGTAAGCGGTGCTTACCCTCCCCAGAATGGTCAGGTGAGGAGTCCTATTTAAATGGGGACTGTAACATAACTCTCCCAAATTGAGCATCAGATCTCGATGCCACATCCACCAAATAATGTTTTGGGAATGTGCTGACCGACCTTTACACAGCAGCTTTGCAGATCTCAATTACTGGGATATACCTCAGACAAAGCATAGAAGTTGCCTTGGCCTTGGTTGAATAGACCCCGAGCTCCTCTGATAGGCACTCTAGGCAGTTTACAGCAATCCTTAATACAGAGTCTGGTCAACTTGGACACGTGCCAAATTGCTATGACCTGACCCTTGTGATTATCCTCATTGGAGAAAACCTAGGTGAATGCTTATATTCTTTTGACCTATTTAAATAAAATGCTAATACCCTCTTTGCCTCTAACAGATGCAATTTCACCTATCCTGGGTAAGAGTGAGGCTTTGGGAAGAATACTCACAGATTCAAGTTCTGATTGAGATGGAAAAGAGCTACCAGCTTATGAAGAAATTTTGGAAAGACGCGGAGGACCACTTTATTCTTATGGAAGACCATAAAAGGAAGGATTGTCTATAAGTAAGATTATGATTTTGACGTGGAAATTTTTAGCAAACGTCATGGCAGGAGTGCGGGGAAAAACAAACATTAAGTCACAGACAGTAAGGTGATTCCTTCCCACATTCACCCCGCACTGGAGGCTCCTGTCCCGCAGTGCTAGGTCCAGCTCCAGGCGTGGTGACCCGGTGCATGGGGTTGCAGCGCAATTCAGGTTTGGTCCATATGCCCCTTCATCTCCATCAGGATGGATGGGCCGTACATGAGTGATGCTGCTACCCAGTGTGCCAGGCCACAAACTCCTGGGAGCCATCTCAAATATGTTTTTACTGCCATTTCCAAGATTCACTGACTTTATTCAAATTCACAATTTTTGTGACCACTATGACAAAATCGTATCCCTATCTACAAGAATATGGAGCTCATTAACTCTCCTATTATGGCTATAATGAAAGCTGTTTTAACAGAGAGAAAAAACAGGGAACATTCTTCCATGGGTTTGGAAAGACACTTCATAGGCCTTACAAGAAATAAATTGAGATTCTAGGTAGAGACAGGGTCTTTCTCTGGAGAGAAGATGTTTACTTGAATTCTGAGAAACCTCTTCACCAAAAGCAACTGAACAGAGACTTAGCTGATAAGAAGAAATGACTTCCAGATGTTCCTTGACTGAAGAAAGTGACAATCCCAGCAACTTGAGGTACAGTAAATATTCCAGAAAAAAAAGGAACAAGTGCCAAGGATGGAGCTACATTACTTGTCACAGCCCACAAAGAGACTCTTTCCCACTTGTGGGTAATAGAAGGAAAGGGCTGACAGCTTTCTGGAGATCCAGCACCTCACATGCTCTGGTTGAACAACAAAGCTTTGAAACAATTGGCATCAAACATCCAGGCTGCTAGATGGAGTACCTTTGAATCCAGATGGAGTGTCTTTGATGGATCTGCCCTTTCTATTGTGTCAAAAGATCTGGTGTAAATGGTAAAAAGAGGTGTGTAACCTGCAGTGTCTGAAGATCCAAATACCACTGGAGTCTGGCCTACACTGGGGCAATGAGAATAATCTTGGCCTTGTCCTGCCAGATGTCTTGTAGTTCTCCTGGTAGGTAAATAGAGTGAAAGGCATGGAGGAGACTCATCCCCTTAAATTTATTGGAAAAACATTCATAATGGACCAAGGGTCCATACCTGTGCTGGAGCAGAACCTCTGACATCTGGTGGCAAACAAATCTATTTCTGGATACCTCTACTGAAGGGATATTCATTGTGTCACTGGCTTCTTTGGGGTCCTACTGACTTCAGCTATGTTAATCTGCAAGGATACTGTCCTTCCCTGCCAGATGGAGAGCCACATTCCCAGAGGGTCACTATCTCCCTGCAAAGTTGTCAGGAGTCGATCTTTCCTTGCTCGTTGACACAGCACATGGCCATGAAGTTGTCAGTGGCTACTGTACTACATGTCCTTGAATCCACGGAAGAAACTACTTGAGAGTTCAGTAAGTCACCCACAGCTCCAGAGTTGAGCTCCTTCCCAGATTTCAGTAGCCATGGACTCTGAAGCACTGGCAGCGAGTGCCCCACGACTGTCAGTATCTGAAACATTCCCTATTGACGGAGCTAAAGGGTGAACAAATTGTTCATTGTCTCTGACTCCACTAATGGAGTAAGAAGCATGTCTTTGGGTAATGTCAGCAACAGGAACTCGTCTAGCATGTGGGATATTGTGTCTTGCCAACTAATGTTAGAAAGGTGTCTCATTCTCAGCCATGCAAATTGAGCTCGGTAAATTGCTGAGACCATTAAGCCCATTAGCCCGAGGAAGAATATTACTGGTTGGGATGAGTTATCCTTCAGGTTCTCTATGTCATGTAGACCTTGAGGTACCTGTTGTAGGGAGCATAGGCCACATTGGGACTTAGACCTGAGTAACTTCAGTTGGCCAAATGTTAAATGAAAGTTAGCATTACTAAGAAATGCTCAAAGCAGCTTTCTGGCTTCTAGACAAAAAGTTGTTAGGGAAATGGATGACCTTACCCTAAATTCTGCACCCACTTTCCCAGTATCATAATTAACTTACTGTCATGAGGATGTATGGGAAAGAATGGATATGTGAATGCTGACAAGTCATAAATTATATTTAAATAATTAAGACATTTATGTCTTGGGCGTAAGTGGAAGTTTGCCTACCAGCTCCTTAGCACACGGCACCTTCTTGCAGCCATTTGCTATTATCAACTAATTGTTGCAAGATACATCCACACTAACCTGAAATCTTCAATGTGACTTCAAGATCAAGATACCAGGCCACTGACTCACATCAAATTATGGCTACCAGGCTGTAACACCTAATTGGCCTTAGAAAATATTTGGGTATCCCCTGAGGTGGCGTAAAGGGACACTGATCCCTAGAACAGATCCAAGCTATGCAGAAGGAAGGGGTTGGAGGTTCTCTCTCACAACAACGACCATATCCAAACTTGCATCCTGCTCTTTTCCTTGGACTGACCATCCAAAGAAGAGGTGAAAGACTCTGACCATCAGCTAAGCCAAATCTGAAGTCTACAACTGAGAGAGATAAAAGAGATCAAGTTTTCCTGCCTATATGTAACAAGCTTTAAGGTCTCCCCTAATATTGATGATAATACTGTTAAATATTAGCTTAGATCTGAATTAAGACCAATCCTGTGAGCTAAAAACTTTAAGATGGTGTGATAATCTTTCTGTAGAGCAATTTGAGGATGGTGGAATCACTCTAACACTCATTAGTGTGAGTGGCTGTATGTTGTATACCTCCCCCCCCCCCCCCCCGTGTCATTAACTGTTCCCCAAAGGAGTCACTACACTCCTAAGTCTTATCTAAACAGTAAGATCTCTAAGTTAAACCAGTGTCATTTTAAAATTGCTATAAGCATGGGATTCTAGAAACCATTTTATATCTGTGCAAGATTGCCAGAAAGATGGAGACATTGCTACTTATTGTAGTAACTGGTGAGCCAGATAATTGAACCATTGATGTATTGATTATATTTCAATTATAACATAAATGTGATAATGGAAATCAAAGTAAATATACTATATTTGAATTTTCAGATGAAGGAATTCAACTTCTTGAGACCCAGAATAGGTCAAAGACCTCAGTCTTTCTTTGGGATCAGGAAATATCTGGAGTAAAACCCTTTCCCTTTGGACTCTGCCGGAACACATCACATTGAACTTCAGGAAGGCCACATTGCCAGGTCAACAGGAGCCTGTGTGAAGGATCCCTGAAGAAGGATGAGGATGGGGCTTGGGGAGGTAGCATGGAGTGAAACTGGTTTGCATAATTTGATCGCATGACTTCCAAAATCCAAATATCCATGGTGATTTTGCAGTTTGTTATGTGAAAGAATGCTAAGTGGTCTTCAAATGGGGAAGGGAATCAAAAAACATGGTTAAGATTGGTTCTAGGCTTTTGGGCACCCCATCAAATTTGAGGTCTCAGGGATGATGATGGAGAAAAGTAAATGGCAGAACACCTTTTCATCATTTTAAAGCTATAATTTTCTTCTGCTTCTCCTGTCCTACTGATATGATATCTCTTCAGAAGATAGATAATTTTGCCTCCCTTTGAATAGGAGAATTTCCAGCTGGGCTCAAACTCGGAGGATAAATCAGACTCTCTCAGCCATGTGTGCTGTTTGTACTAGCCATGGGGACTTCCCTGGAAGCACAGCTGACAAATCAAAGAACTCCCTCAGAGCATATCTGTAATTGATTAACCTTTGTGATTTGGGCCTTGGCTAAATTTCTCCAATCTTTGGGTGAAGACAGTCATCTTGTCCCACAAGAAGTATTGGTAGCAGGACATGACAGATTAGTAGTTTGCTACTGACTGCTTAATGTGGCCAATGAAAAGACCTTTCCAAACAATGCTGTCTAGCTTCTTGCCCTCTGTGTCTGATGGGGTGGAATGAACTCTGCTACCCATAGGTCGTTCCATAACTGTGGACACAAAGAGAATTTGGAGTGAGGTGGGTACTGGAGAACATGAAACATTCAAGAGTGGCTTGTTAAGTTATATCAGCCTTTTCAGAAACAGGCCCAGATGCTGGATTAATCCAAATACCCATGTCTGTTTGCAATTAACCATCCAACAGGGAAAAGGTCACTTTGGCACTTTCTCCAGATGTGCGATTTTCTGAAATGCCACTGCAGATATGTTGAGAGTGATAGCCATTCTCTCCACCAACTCCTGAAACTGACAAAGGTTCTCTGGAGAAGATGTGAAAGAGGCCCCAACATTCTTGTACAGGGAGGTTAAAGAAGTCTGAGCACTGCGATCCAAAGCTGGATTCATAGTGGTGATATCTATGGCTGCATCCAGCTCATATTAAGACAGCTATTTGTGATCCACATGAGAGACTGATCTAGTGGGTCCAGAAGTGGCAATGGGTATAAAGCTTTCAGCACTAATGCCCAGGAAGAGCTTTTTTAATACCTCCCCAAGAAGAAGGATCCTTGTAAAACACTAGAAAATTGTTACCTCCCCTGCCTCACCCCATATACAGATAGGTTGGAGGCTAGGGGAAGGGGGCCATCATCACAGGCCCCATTATTCACACTGGTACCTTGAAAACACGCCAGTATCCTCGATAAAAGGAGGGGACTGGGGAACCTGATCTGCGCAATCCTCTATCCTGATGGACCCAAGATATTGTTTCAGGCTCCAGCCCAAGCCCCACATCTCCCGGACACTTTTGAGGTCTCCCAAGGTGGGTGAAAGAGGAGAGCAGTAAACCCATAGATAAAGATCAGAGGGTGGAGTCAAAGGCAGATCCAAGAGTGCTTCCTTGGGGGAAGCTGCCCCAAGAGGTCAATTCCTGAATAGTGGTCTGGCTAGGCCTTTTTGCTCCTGGAGAAGGACTAGTAGCTGAAGGCCTCTGGGAGACCTGTAAAGAACACAGAGTTCCAGAAATCTTGAGTGTGCAAGACTTAGTTGTCACAACCGCTTGAATACGGATCACCTTGAGCAGTTCTAGTGCTCCTTTTTCGCCAAAAGGGTGAAGAGCTTGCGGATGGAGCATCTAGTGGGCTCATGACCTTCCCTCAAGCAAGCCAAATACCAAGTATGGGCCTCTGAAACCAGCTGGGCAAGAAGTACATCTCTTAAACCCCATTCTTTTTATGACAGGATCCATCATTACGTAGCTGCAAATTTATGGCAGGCACGAAGAGCCATATAGGGTTTGAGAATTACCTAACATTTCTAACACAAAACTAAAACTACATTACCTTCTAACACTAAAAACTACTAACTTATGGCATTAAGAAATAAAATTTCTGTAATGCTGTTTAAAGACCCAGCTGAGGTTCCTGGTCTGCACACTACCGTGGCTGGAAGGAAATGATGTGGTTCAAGCACCCCACAGACCCCATTATAGACTTCACTCCAGAACGTTTGGACTGGGGGATGCAAAGGAGGCACAAACTCCTCTAAGAGATTTCCATTGGTCCAGCTGCACTATCAGCACATTTCCCAATAGTGGGAAATATATAGAGATTCACTCAAACAAGAAATGAGATTTTTGTGCACAGGATCTAGGACAGTTTTATTGAAGAACCCCCACTCAAGCTTGACAACTTAATATAGAATAGTCCCTGCATTAGTCTTAAATAGACTTGGCAGAATTAGATTTTTTTAAAATTATTTTGACAGATTATTTTTAAATTCTTAAAAATAAACTGATATCTTTATTTATTTTATCAATTTCATTTTTTGTTGCAGGAAATTATGGGGAGGTTAGACAATGTGGGGAGGAGTGAGACAATTATTTAATGACAGCAGACACTCAGACTGAAAAAGTTAAAGCATGATAACTGTTAAAAAAAAAAAAACTGTAAACATCACATGTCAAAATATACAAAGAAAATATCCTTAAATCAAACTTGAAAGTTCTCAATCAGAATTTTTAAAATTTTTTGCCTAAAGTATACATTTCTGTTATTATCGATGGAAATATTTTCTCGTGTTTGTGTGCGCACAGTGAAATCCATATTTATTGATATTTACCAATAAAAATATAATCCTTCCAAGCCCCCTTAAATAAAAAGTTTAGGCCTGGGTATCTGTATAATTTTGGATCCACTTGCTACTCTCCTAACCCTCTTTAATACTGCTATGGAGAGATGCAATGAGCAGTTTGATTATTGTCTAAAGCCTACTTAAGTAAATGGAAAATTTCTAAGAGTATTAGATTAGGCTCTTAGTATGGACCCCTATGTAGCTTCTTTCACCTGTAAAGTGTCTTCTGTGAACTCAGAAAGGAGATGGGGAGCATTTAGTCCTTAATTTGTTTTATTGCCAATTATATAATCATACTTAGACCAAATATGTTATAAATATAAGTTATTCCTCTGCAGAATGCATTGTAAAACATCTTCACATTGTAAAACATCTTCACACACACAGAAAATCCACAAACCAGACTTAGTCCTACTTGAAAAATCTTTTATTGCATAACTCTAGACATCAGATGGAACCCTGAATTTTGAAGTTGTCTGTGGTCTTCCTGCAATCATGTAATACGTATATATGAAATTACTCAATTTTTCCCTAATGTAAACTGCACAGTTAATATTAATATTGACATATGCTTAAAGAACTCTATTCGGGGATGGTGGGGTGGGGATGAGGGGAATCCTTTCATACCTGCTTTTTCCAGCCATGTCGTTTTATATTTCCTTTGTTTGGTATTGAAAGCCAACCCTCAATTCTTGACTCTGTTTTAAAACACATGGAAATTAAACAATCTTAATATATTATAATAGAATAAAATAATATAACAAAGCGCACTTGACTTCATGCGGCAATAGGAGATTACCCAATAGATCAGCAAAGCAGGAATTAAAAGAATAGCTAAACAAAACAAGGATATAAGCATTTATATTTCATGCTTCATCACAAACTAACATTTTATGTCCACACAGCTATTGCAGAAAAAATATCAAGCTGTTTTCCATAAGGCTAATATCTAACACTGTATTTAAAAAAAGCCAGACAGGATGCTTTGGTTTGAAAAATGTGTTGCAGCTTAAATGGAAGATAATTAAAAGATTCTCAATGTAAATATCATTTAACTTTCAGAGTGGCTATATGAAAATATTTAGCAGAAAGATGCTGCAAGTGAAACAAACCAGAGCCACAATTTACAAAACACAGAGAAAGAGCGCACAAGAAAACAAGCAAAGGTACGCAAATGTCCCATTACTCACAGAAGATAAGAATAGAAGAGAAATAAATAAGGAATGCAGGAAGAATCAACTAGATACAAAGAATAAGAGACAAGCATTTTATTTGTTTTTCAAAAGAACAATTTTCTGATGAGTATTTTGATAATGTATTTTCCTACAATATAGTTACTGAAATAACAAATCATTATTTTGAACACTGATAAAAAAACCTGAGCTTTCCCACACTGGCACTTAACATTTTGGCTATCACTACAGAAAACTCTAGCTATCTGATGTTCTAAATTTATTTGTATTGTTTGGGATGCATTTTTAAAAATATGTATGAAACTGATAGTAGTGAAACACTGTTTTGCTTTAAACTGAGTTAAAATGAAGATGGATATTCAACATGGAAAATCTATTTTATAGTCACTTAAGTATAGTTTTATAAAAGGAAAACAAGTAGCATAAAAAGTAGTTTGTTTTAAAAAAAGTTACCAGAGAACAGGAACATATATGTATAAATCAATCATTCAGCCATACCAATTAATTTGATTAAAATAAGGTTAACAGCATTTCAATATCCCAAGAACATCAACTAAACAAATTAGCTACAACTTTTTGTCTGTATATTTCTCCAACAAACACTACTGCTGTAGGGATAATTCTGGAAAGCAGTCGGTGAGATTTAACCATGCAAGTATTAATGCACTGCTGTGAAAATACACCCAAATACTTTTCCAAACAAACAATGTCCATATATTTTGTTGACTAAAATCAGGAAGAGTTTTGCCACCCTAATCTTCCAAAAAGAAAAATTATACTGCATGCTTTATTCCAGTGAAATGGTAACATTTCTTGCATTAATGCCTACAATAAAGACAATGTTATACAATCACTTAAAACTGGGTTACTTATTAATCATTGGAATTCTCTTTGATTCTCTTCTCCACACTCTACAAATGTTCCCCAAACCACCTGGAAGAATGCAGAGTCACTAAAATCTTGAAATTCAGATAGGCAAAGTTCACGCCAGCATTACCCTTTTACATTCAGAAATTTATTTGCATGTAAAAGCCAAGGAAATGCCCAAATCTCTGCTTCTCACATCTTCAAATATATACACATATATTTTAAAAAACCTCCAAAAAAACCTCTTTGCTCTCTGACTCAACATTCAATAACTTCCTAGCAGGGAATATATTTTCCTCAATCTCTACAGCAGTCACACTTAAGAAGTTTCTTCTGTTTTGAAATATATTGTTCCTGTGGTATTCCCAATTAAGCAAGAATGAATATCACTAAAATTGGTGTAATTTCTGAAAATGTAAAAAAAGTTAGAGGTTCAATCCTCAGCTGCAAAATAGAGTAATAGCTGTCATGAAGATGAATTATAGTGACTGAAGTAGTTCAAAGAAAGGACTAGTAAAGTGCCTGAGGAAGTAAGCTAAGGCTCTTTAAGGGGAATTTGAAAAGTCTGAAAGATCTGTTATTTCCAACTAATTTGAAGAAGAGTGACACTGAGGTTGTGCCCATAAGGACACTGATTGTGAGCAAATTACACAGGCTTCTGTTTCAGCATGCGGCCTGAGTTCCTTGTCAAAGTAACTAGAGAAAGACTGGGATATTTACAACGTTGCTTTGAATTGGTTGATGTTCTTTTCTGTGCACCCTCTGACAGATCTGTTCCAGTGTGCAAAGTACATTTGTATAAGAAATGGTTTTCAAGCTACAAAGAAGCACCTTGCAATGAAGATATTTGCTCCTCAGTTCCAGCTTTTCTAGGAGGCTCAAGATTCCTCACTTTCTAATAGGCTCTTGAAGGAGTACACATTTCCTCTCAGTTAGAGACACTGATGGTGTTACATGGGTTTCTTTAGACTTTCATTTATTGTCCTGTTTTAATTTGATTTAACTGATTGCCAGTTAACTTAGCCAACACAATTGTTAAAGCAGGTCTAGTCACTCCACAAACATTTGATCCAGGACAGAAATATCTGGTGTTATCCTGAAGAAGTAGCTCAGAAAATATGGGATGGCTGGGTCAATGTGGAATAGTCATCTCATAGTTCTGCTAGACAGTCTGCCTTCATATTAAGGATACCCTACAGGTGGCTGGCTCTGAATGATAGAACATGTTTCTGCCAATCTGAACAGAAGCCTTCCTGGTGCAACCATGTCCCTAGTATGCATTAAGAAGTGCCATGAAGGAATAAGGCTCCTTGAAAAAGGCCTGGATATTACTGACAGTTTTGAAACAACAGGAGAGTTCCTAGAATCTGACACAAGGGGAGACATATTTCTACATGGATATGATGACTGTAGGAGTCACCACAAGTAGATTTGGGAAGGGTTTAACATCAAATATACCAATATCCTGAAGATGTTCCTGGAACAAATACAGCAGACATATACCCTTTAGGTTTCAAAAAGTCTGACTGTTTTACAGTCTGAATTTTGCTAGAAGCTAGAAGACTTATTACGCAGTGCAGCAGTTGTGACAATTTTGACACACCCTTATCTGACTAAAAACACATTCTAGAAAAGATATATAATTTAAAATCAACATTAAAATAAAAAACAAAAATTAACTAAGGGAAGACATGACACCAGTGCAGACAAAGGGGAAGGAGGCTACTCCCTAGAAGCATTCACTAATGATTGTTACATACCTGAAATTCAAGATTTCAACCATTTAAAGATGTTTGGAAAAACTGCAGTGTGAAGATCTAGGCAGCGGAAAGTGCATCAATAGGAAAAGAGACATGCCTAAAATGTTTCTTTTACATTACTCATCCATTGAAGTTGTATGGTCATGTGTAAACCAATATCCCTTGTCTAAAATGCTCTTGATGACATAGGTCCTAGTCTTATTTACAGATATTTGGATTTATTTTGCTGCTGTGTAGTCAGATTTTAAAGTCACATGACAAGCATATTTATTACTAATCTCATAAGGAAAATTATATCACTGTATATAGAAAATAAGCCTTATACCTTATAGGTATTTTGCAGCACAGCATATTATTTTTGAATGTTGTTCTGTAGCAAAATAAATCTTGTGTGCTCGCATAACAGAGATCAGATCTTGCAGCACCACAAAAAGTAATCAGTATCTGCAACAGCAGTTCTCAAACTGCAGTCCATGAACTACATGCTCATGGTCTGCAAAGAGATGATTAATAACATGATGTTATCTCTCTTTGTTTTCATCTACTGAATCACAACATATAGTTAAAAATGCATTAAATATTTTCCTAACATTAACTTTCCAGGAAGGCAATTTTTGTCATTGCCACAGTGATGCTATGTGAACTATAGGGGAGGTGGTCCATAAGGCAATTTTGCATCACAATATGGTCTACACTATGAAAAGTTTTGAGATTCCTCATTTACAACACATATCACATCCATTATATTCACACAGTGCAGCAACAATAATGACAGCTGTAAAGATGGTCTCTTCCACTAAATGGAAGTGATGGCTCTAACCTGGGAAGACTGATTTCAGATGAAATGAAGACAGTCCTCTATACAAAGCTAGCCAAGCTATGAAATCCCTACTTGGCCTCCAACATAAAAAGCTAACACTATTATCCTGCATTCAGGACTTTAAAAAAAAAATTACTTATTCTTTTGTTGAACAATAGTTAAAATAATGGCGAGGGGATGCAGAAAGGGTAAGGAAGAAGCCATTTTAAAAGGTGATGGCCAACAATTTCTAAGACTAAGTGTATATACAAAAGACAAGTTGTCCAAATGCATAATTCTCTTACCTGTAAGGTTTCCATCAGTTTCGTCTGGCTGGAGGCTGGCAACACTGGTAGAGTCCATTCCTTGCTGAAGGTCCAAAAGTTTACTACGCAATTGTTCTATATCACTCTCTTTACTATCCAGCTGCATCTGAAGCTCATTCCTGTATGTTAACTCTTCTACTAGTTGCTGTATTTACATATATACAGTAAGCATATGATCCAAAGAGAACATGGAAACAAAATAATAAGGTATTTAAAAAAGGAAGAATGAATTATGATGGATTACAAGCTTTCAGTAAATCTATGGATTAATTTGGTAACATTACTATTCATTTGGAATCTTAATATTGTATTACAATAATAGAATTATCTGAATTGGTTTGGGCTTTTGTTTGAAATTAAAATATGCTAATTAAGAAATCAGCCCAGTTATCAAGGACTTGTGGGAATACATTAAATTAGGAAATAGTCTGATTAATTTCATTAATCAATGTTTTTCTTAAAAAGAATATCACCAAATATCAAATCAAGCCATTTAAAAACTAAATTAGAGCAATAATAATTCCTTTAATTTGTAATAAAGCAAGCTAAAGACCACATAAGGGGAATTTTATACTAGAAAATACCAATTTACATCTGTAAACTATTTCCAATTGTTTTGCAAAAAAACAAACTATATTATTTATATCATTTTTTCCCCATTGTTCAGTCAGTCAAATGCATGGCATCGGATTTGTTCCCTGGAAACTGTCACAATGAAATGGGTCTATAAAGTAAATTCTGCTGTATAAGAAAATGTAATCACAGTGTTTTGGACAGGAAAAAAATGTGTCTTCTAGTACATATATCTGGTTCATATCTGTTACTTTTAAGGAAGATAATGTCTGCACTATCTTTCCCTTTGGACTGGATCACAGACTACCACGAAAAAGGAAAAGGTTTTACCGCTTGCATTTCATTGAGCTCCTTCTGGTATTTCACTACCATCTGATTGTATTTCTCTTTTTCTTGATTAAGCTCCAGTTGTAGCTTTCGGTTTTCCTTTTCTTTTTTCCTCAAATCTTGTATATTAGCTTTCTTTCTGTCTATTTTAAAATCTTTCCGATTCATTATCTCAGCCAATTTGTTCACAGCCTGTACAAAAAAAGTACACGAATTAAGAGAGATGCTATATCAGGGGTCGGCAACCTTTCAGAAGTGGTGTGCCGAGTCTTCATTTATTCACTTTAATTTAAGGTTTTGCGTGCCGGTAATACATTTTAATACGGTTTTTTAGAAGGTCTCTCTCTACAAGTCTATATATTATATAACTAAACTAGTGTTGTATTGTAAAATAAACAAGGTTTTCAAAATGTTTAAGAAGCTTCATTTAAAATTAAATTAAAATGTTGATCTTACGCCACCGGCCTGCTCAGCCCGCTGCTGGTCTGGCGTTCTGTTCACCTAGGCCAGCAGCGGGCTGTGCGGGGCCGGTGGCCAGGATCCCAGACCGGCAGTGGGCTGAGCCACTCAGCCCACTGCCCCTCAGGGGTTCCATCCTTCGGTGGGTACCTACCTTCTCCCTGGTTCTGGCCCATTCTTTTCCTCTCCCTGCACTGAGCTGAGGGTGGAAGTGCACTGAGCACAGGGCTGGGGGTGAAGGGTCTGGCCAGGACCTAGAATGAGGGAGGAGGCTCAGGGTTGGGACAGGAGGTTTGGGTGTGGGGCACTTACCTGGGCAGCTCCCATTTGGTGCAAGGGGTGCAGGTGGGAATGTGTGTGTGTGGGTGCGGGTGAGCGCGTGCACGCAGGAACTCCCATTTGGTACTCAGAGTGGGGGTGGGGATGTGGGGGGTGCAAGAGTCAGGATGTGGGGGGGTACATGGGGTGTGGGGGGGCTGGGCATGTGGAGGGTGCAAGAGTCAGGGCAGAGGGCTGGGGGCATGTCAGGGGAAGTGCAGGTGTCAGGGTGGGGGGGGCTGGGTATGTGTGGGGGTGCCAGAGTCAGGGCTGGCGTCGTGGGGGGGTGAAGGAATCCAGCAGCGGACTGGGTGTGTATGGGGGGGTACAGGGCTCAGGGCAGGGGCCTGGGATGTGTGCGGGGCTGAGGGCAGAGTGTATGTGAAAGGGGGTCAGGGCTCAGGGCAGAAGGCTGGGGTGTGTGCGGGGGGGTCAGGGCAGAAGGCTGGAGGGTGTGTGCCCCTATTCCATGCCCTTCCTTCCCCAAGGCCCTGCCCCCGCTTCTTCTCTTCAGACCCCGGGACTCCCATGCCCCATCCAACCCCTGCTACTCCCTGACTGCCCCCTCCAGAGACCCCCCCACCCAGGATCCCACCCCCTATCCAACCCACCCCGCTCCCTGTCCCCTGACTACCCCCCCATCCAACCCCCCCAGCCCTCTTACCATGAGGCTCCTAGCAGCATGTTCTGCTCCGCGCAAAGTCAGACATGCTGCCCCACGGGAGCAGACAGCCCTGCCCCTCAAAGCGCTGCGCACGCAGCAGCATGGCTCCAGGGGAGGGAGAAAGGCGGGGGAGGGGCCGGCGGCTTGCTGCGCTCGGCCAAGTGCTCTGGCCCAGGAGCGCGCACCCTGCAGCTTGCCGCGCCGGGAGAGTGGGGCCATTTGGCAGAGTGTGCCTGGGCACACCCCGTGCGCACGCCTATGATTCTGTCCCCCTGCCCCCGCAGGGGAGGGGGCGGCAGAGAAGAGCAGGCCAGGCCGGGCCGGATTTTTAATGGCACGCTGCTCCGGCAGGCATGCGTGCCATAGGTTGTCGATCCCTGTGCTATATACATAAGCTTTTGTAAAGAACATAGAAGTTTCTCTTAGGTTACAGAAGTCCACATTATTTTTCAGCACGACATCATACTGAAGACATGCATATAGAACTCCCTGCCTTTCTATCCCCTTGTTACTGCAGCTGTCAAACTGACTGCTAAAATACATACATTTCAGTAAGAAAAAGTAGAAATAAGAGAGCAGTAAAATGTAACATTTCCAATTTTGGAATAGATTTTTTTTAAATGAGCTGAGACCATGTTTAAAAAAGTGTAGATTTCCCAGAACATAATTAATTATAGAAGTGAATGCACTGGCTACAAAAAAGCTCCTATTAACATGTTGTTGTCTGTGGGTCTGATCCTGCAAACCCTTACTCTCTTGAACATTCCTTAATCAAGTGAAAAGTTTACAGGATCAGAACCTATGCTTTTAGCTATAAATTACACTAATACAAATTTAAGATTTATAGATCATCACTAATACAAATTTCATCTAGCTATAGTACTGAGAAGTAATCACACAAAGTAATTCATTAAAATTTGAAAGCTATTTTTCTGGTATGCCACAATGAAGTCAACATGCTCATATTAAAATGTCTAAAAATTAATACCTGTGTTTTAAGAGTTCTTTCAGTGTGAAGATTCTTCTCATAATGCATTCTAATAGTGTTGATTTCATCTTCTTTCTTCAATTTAAATTCTGTTAAAAAATACCATTAAACTTTCTGAGATATATATTTTATGGCAAGAAAATTTTTAAAGGTCATTCATTTCTCCATAATATGTGGGTTTTTTCCATCTTACTGTTCTTTGACTTTGCATACAAATACAGACATTTTGTAACCATAAAGACCATTTATTTAATGATACTGGAATATCATAAATATCTCACCACAGAATATTTTAGATAGATAGTGCAATGGTAAAAAGCATATATATATATCTAGCTCCTAACATACTGTTATAGCATTTTTGACAACTGCTGTACACTGAGCAGAAGTTTTCAGAGAACTGTCCACAGTGACTCCAAGAACTCTTTCTTGGGTGGTAACAATAAATTTAGAACCCATCAATGTATATGTATAGTTGGAATTATTTTTTCCAATATGCATTACTTTTCATTTATCAATGTTGAATTTCATCTGCCATTTTGTTGCCTAGTGATACCGTTTTGTGATATCCTTCCAAAGTCTGCTTTGGACTTAACTATCTTGAATAACTCTCCATCATTTGCAAACTTTGCCACTTCACTGTTCATCCCCTTTTCCAGATCATTTATGAATATGCTGAACAGCACAGATCCCAGTACATATACTTGTGGGGACACTGCTTTTCACCTCTCCCCATTGTGAAAACTGACCATTTAGCCATACCCTTTGTTTCCTATCTTTCAACCAGTTACTGATCCATGAAAGGACCTTCCAGCTGATCCCATGACTACTTAGTTTCCTTAAGAGCCTTTGGTGAGGAATCTTAAAGGCTATCTGAAAAGTCCAAATATACTATATCAACTGGATCACAATTCTCCACATGCTTGTTGATTCCCCTCAAAGAATTCAAATAGATTGGTGAGGCATGACTTCCTTACAAAAGCTGTGTTGACTCTTCCCCAGCAAATCATGTTTATCTACATGTCTGATACTTCTGTTCTTTACTATAGTTTGTACCAATGTGCCTGGTACTGAAGTTATGCTCACTGTCGTTTAAATGCCAGGATCTCCTCTGAAGCCCTTTTTAAAAATTGGTGTTACATTAGCTACCTTCCAGTCCTCTGATTCAAAGGCTGATTTCAGTGATAGCTTACGTACTACAGTTGTTAGTTCTGTAATTTCATATCTGAGTTCCTTCAGAACTCTTGGATGAATACCATCTGGTCCTGGTGACTTATTACTGTTTAGTTTTTCAATTTGGTCTAAAACCTCTTCTATTAACACCTCAATTTGAGACACTATTTCAGATCTGTCACCCAAAAAGAATAGCTCTGATGTGGATATCTCCCCCACATTCTCTGCAGTGAAGACGGATGCAAATAATTCATTAAGCATTTCTACAATGGCTCAGTCTTAGTTGAGTGCTTCTTTAACACCTTTAGTAAAATCCAATATACACCTCTACCCTGATATAATGCTGTCCTCGGGAGCCAAAAAATCTTACCGCGTTATACGGGAAACCATGTTATATTGAACTTGCTTTAATCCGCCGGAGCACGCAGCTCTGCCCCCCTGGAGCACTGCTTTACCGCATTATATCCAAATTTGTGTTATATCGGGGTAGAGGTGTAGCTCCAATTAATTTTATCTTCTGCATAAGGATCAGTACTGGGATTTTTTTCCTAACAGTCCCAGAAAAGAGAACAACCAAAGGATCTAATGAATATTGTTCCTCTACTTCTGCCATAATCTCCCACAAACTAATCAATAGTCCAAGTATGGGCATACTTGGATCCCCATTTTTCTGAGGTAAGCTGCTACAACAACTAGACATTTTGCGAATTGTCTGGCAGTGGCTGATTGGCTGAATGGTAATTGCCAACCACAAACGTCAAATATCATCTGTGGAATGCGTGGATTGTGATAAGGGAATGTGTCCTGAAGATCAAGAGCAGTGTACCAGTCAGTCTAGGGATGCAATGATAGTGGCTAGGGATACCATTCTGAACTTGATCTTCCTGAGGTAAGTGTTTACTCTTCTAGTTCTAGAGCAGGCCAAAATCCTCCATGTATTCTGGGAGATGAGGAAGTACCTCAAGTAAAACACCCTCCCTTTGAGGTGAAGCAGGACCTCTATTGTGCCAAGAGCTAGAAGTGATTGAACATCTTGGTCTAACAAGCTCTTGTGAGGGGGTCCCTGAATAGGAACAGGGAAGTTGAGTATAGACTGAAATTAAATCTCATATCCCACTCCTATGATTTCCAATACCCATCCATCCCTTGTTATATTAGTCCAGAAATAGTGGAAATGAGACAGGTGATCCCCAAAGGGAGGAGATGGGATAGCTAGATCCATAATAACTTGTAAAATATTCCTGGGTGAGCCTCAATAATGAAGACCGGTGAGATGAAGTCCCTACTGATTATAAGAATTTTCTTCCACAAACTGCAGTTGTTTCCTCTGAGCATCCGTTTGTCAGTACTGATAGTGAGCAGGCTGCCTGTGGTAAACTTGTGGTCTCAAATGCTTATGTTTGGGAACTGGCGTGTATACTCTCAAAGACCTGAGGGTTGTTCTGAAATGGAAATATACATGACCTTGGATCAGAAGCAGAAAATGCACTGCTGAGGCTGCTGTTGGCGGTCAAACCACCTAAAGGACACAAGAGGCTCTGATGCATCTCCCTGCCAGTGTGAAGCTCACCTCTCAACCTTCAAATCTGCTAGTATGTGACACCAGCAAACAAAATGTGGGACAAATGACTGAAATACGAAACATTATTTTGGTGATTCAAAGTATAATGTACAGATTCTTGTGCTCTTGTCTGTGCCTGCAGTGACCCTGCATACCTCTCTGCTACTGTATTTTAAAAATGAGAGGGAGAGATGTGTGCGCAGCAACTCATACTTGATTGTATTCTAGGTTTAGAACCTTAGCCAACAATAAGTGTAGCGAAGAGCATGGGAATATAAACAACATACTAGAGGTATGATTTAAAGTCAAGGTATACTTTCCAGCTCAGGGAATTTGCAAACCTGCCAAAAGTAATGGTTTTGGAATGCTTATTATTCTCTCTGTAATAAATCTATTTTTCATCCAACCACCATGAAAAATTCAAACACTCAAAAGAGCTTACGTTTTAGGTTTTGATTTTTGCCATTTTTACAAAACAAAGGTTTAAAAGTCTTGTCAAAACAAAAATTCAAATGCAGCCTTCACTATGGTGTCATGATCAGCTCTGGCAAAACAAAACAAAAAATTCATACTATACTTTTCAAAGCTCCATGGAAATTTAAGTGCCATCATGAAGATTAGTAGACATGGAATATGAAGAAGAATGTGTGTTTATTTCTGGTCTGTGATTGATTGATTGATATTCTTTCCTCAGATCATGTTTAACAACAAATTCTGATATAATATTAAGCTAAATGCACTAAGCTTATTATTATTATGTATACTTTGTAATCATAAATTATTCTTTACATGAGAGGGTGGGATTTGCAATCTCTCTCTGCACAAATGAAATGGGCTGGGGATTTGGCCCACAAAACCAGCATATTCAGGCAAGCGTGATAACTTTTCACTAGCTCCAGGCTCCCCACAGCCTTCTCTCATCCTCATGGCAGTACAGGCTCCCTCAACAGCTGCATCCACCTAAAATCTCTAGGAGCAGAAAAGGGATCACATGTCCCCCATCACACGGGAGGGAGGAAGTAATTAATTTCATGCTGACAGCATGCAAAAGATTATAAGATCCTTAATACTGAAGGAAAAAATTGCCAAAACTGGTTTTCAAGTCTGCAACAGCAAACACATTTCTCTGTAATCAGTTCTGCATCATCATAACATAATTTAAAACTCAAAACATGCCATACCTTCCTCCTGTTTCTTATTTTTTTCCATGAGCTCTGCATTTTCTTTTGTTAGAGACTCAACATCAGTGGTTAATGTTTTATTTGTTTCTTCCAGCTAAAAACAAACAAATTTTAAAACAAAGCATTTGCTATACATCCTACTCATATTCAAAACTGCATTTAATCTTATATCAATACTAGTATTCCACACAGAATTACCATAATTACCATTCTTAGATTACATACTTACTCATCTGTTCATACTTCAAAACTGTACATAAAATTCTAGATATTTTACTTCTGATCCCTCTTTCTTTCACAAAGACACTGAGTATAAAACTATCTCTAAGAAAAGGACTAGATCTATTTTTATGATCCACGCAGTGTTGAGCACATTTTCAGTGAGCAATAAATAATAACCAACTGAATTTAAGGAATTAAGCAGAACTTCAGTGTTACTTAGTACAGCAGCTTTCAGTAAATTTTAAGGAACTTCTGTGTAAACGATAACATGTAGCTACCTACAATTGAATCCAGAGAATCAGTTGCTAGTTACGAAATTCCAAGATTTCAGGCTTTCCATAATTATTTAATATCACTCTCCATCAATGGAATTTACATTTGAGTAGCGTTATATATCATGGAAAAGAGACAGGCACATATGGGTAAAAAGAAAAGATTTGCTTTTTGTCAAATGGTGCTCACAGGATTTGTGAAATGAACTGTAGGGGGAAATTAATATCATTTGCCTATATTAGCTCCCTATCAGGATCATTTTGCTGGATGCTACACAAACATATTAAAAGACAAAAAGAATACAATTGCATTCAGTAAGCAAGTTTTGTTTGAAACCTACAGAAATACACTGAATGATTGTGTATTGAGTTATGTAAACAACAATATCTGAAGTTGACAATTTATGGGTAGGAAGTCCCTACCCATAAATTAGATTCCACATCGATGCAGTTATTTAAAATAGTCTCAAATGAAAATAGGGCATTCTGGAAAGTGAAAGGTTATTTCATGGGGCTATTGCACATGTAACATTACTGCAACAAATGTTACTTATTACTAAAATAAATAATTTAATGTGGGGATGTAAAGCGCATAATAGCATGCAAGAAAAACAATGCATTTTGGTCGTCATGCGCAAAGTTTTACTGCGGGCTTATGTTAGGCAGTATCTGAGTGCCTCTGCATGCAGGAGGCCAAAGTGGAAGAACACAGTTTAAAAGTATTATAAAATAGAAATATTACACTGCAAATTAATAGGGTTTGTGAGTAAAAACTCTTGGTTAACACATTACTGTAAATGTAATGCAAAAATTAAATGGTTGCTCTCTGAAGTTGAGACTTCCCAGCTTGTATATTTTGATTTAAAAATATTTGCCTGGGAAAAAACCCAGCATCTTTCAAATGCTTTCTGAATGAGGAAAGTGATTATGTAGTCAGATCCCTGAGTACACTATTAAAGAAATTGATGATTTTTAAAAAAAGATAGTGAGGGATGGTGGACAGATTGAAAGATATTGTGCTTGATTTTCAACTTGGCCTCAAACCAGACTCTCTTTTTGTGTCCACATTTATTTGGGAGCTCAAATAATGTAATCTATCAAATAAATGTCTAAGTACCTGAATGTACCCTCAGATCAGATACTCAGATATCTAAGTGGCAGCAATTAAGTGCACAAATAACTGCAGATGCAAAATTGCCTCAATTTGCACGCACAAAGATGCTGGACTTTAAAGACCTGTCTCTAAATTTATAAAAAGAAGAACAGGAGTACTTGTGGCACCTTAGAGACTAACAAATTTATTAGAGCATAAGCTTTCGTGGACTACAGCCCACTTCTTCGGATGCATACGAAG